AGAGACTTGAATTTTTTTCTTCAGTTCTTTCAGCTTGAGTTTTTTCTTCCCTTTTGTTTTTCCCCCATGTGTTTTCTTCCCTTTTAGTTTTCTCATTTCAGTTATTTGAACATTTCCTAATAATACTTTGCTTAGTTTTCTTGATCTGCTCTTTGAAATATTTTGTTCAGCTCTCTTACTTCAGCATCTCTCCCTTTGTTTTTGCTTCTTTACATTCCACTACAACTTTCAGATTCTCATCTAATATCCATTTTGCTCTTTTACTTCTTCTCTGTCTTTGTAATGAACTTTTGCTTCCTTCATAGATGATCCTTGACGTCCTCTTATAACTCATCTGGTGTTCAGCCATTAGTGTTCGATGCATCAAACCTATTACTGAGATGGTTTAAAAATTTAGATGGCATATACTTAAGGTTGTATTTTGGTTCTTGTGGACTTGTTTTAATTTTCTTCAGCTTCAGTTTGAACTTGTACTAACAGTGATTGATGGTCTATTCTGCAGTCAGCTTCTGCCTTGTTTTGACTGCTGACTTTGAATTTCACCATTGACTCTTTTGGGGCTTTTTTTCCCCTTTAGAATTATTTTATTAACTCATAAATGTACACCAGCTTCTTAAACTCTACACATGCACTTAAAGTTTTTAAAGGAAAACGATATGTCTTATTACACCATAATCCTGGCTAGTAGCTTTTCAAAAGTTTGAGAAAAATCTTAAAAAAGGTTTCACACATCACCTGAAACTTATAAATTTAACATTATCAAAGAAGGAATGCTTCTACTGTCTTATAAAGACCACTAGAAAGAAACAACAATTAAAAAGCTAAGAAACTGTCTCAAAGGCATTTTTTTTTTACAATCTTTCCTCCACAGTAAGGTAATATATTAAATAATACAATCCATTCACAAAATGTCTCTCTGCATCTACTCTGGTGTCTTCTGCCATATCACTACATATTTATGCATGACTGAGATAAGTTTCCTTAACATTGTTATTTCGATAACCTGAAGCTGTTGTGTTACTTCTGAGCTCTCATCCTCTCCTATTTATACAGTGAAGCCTATGGCAATAGGAAAAAAGCTCAATATCGGCTCCTCCCTCCATAACCCCCACTTCCTCCACTGCCTCCTGGACCATAGTTTCCTCCACCGTATGGTCCACCCAATTTCCTGCTACCACCAAAATTCCCACTCTTCATTGGCCCATAGTTAGAAGGTTGCTGGCTATAAATTCCAAAATCATTGTAATTTCCACTTCCATAATTTCCTCCTCCATAGTTGTCATAACCACCTCTGTAGCCCCCACCCTGGTTGCCATATCCAGGTCATCCACCACCATATCCTCTTCTTCCTTCTCCGTAACCAGGGCTACCTCCAAAATTGCCACCTCCAGGTCCTCCTCCATACCCATTATAGCCATCTCCAAATCCACGACCACTTCCATAGCCATCAGACCCTCCTCTAAAGTTACTTCCTGGTCCTGGTCCAAAATTTCCTCCTCCACCACGCGAATCCCCCAAACCGAAGTTGCCTCCTTTTTCACTCCTAGAACTTTGGACCTCCTGCATTTCTTGTCTAGACAAAGCCTTTCTTATGTCTGCATTATGACCGTTGATGGTGTGGTATTTCTGCAATACAATTTTATCCACAGGATCATCGTCATCAAATATAACAAAGCCAAAGCCTCTTTTCTTTCCAGACTGCCTATCAGTAATTATTTCAGTGGTATCAAGTTTTCCATATTCTTCAAAATAATCTCTAAGGTGATGTTCCTCAGTGTCTTCTTTAATTCCACCAACAAACAGCTTCTTCACAGTTATAGGAGTCCTTGGTTTTCTAGATTCCTCTCTTGCCCCAGCACGTTTTGGCTCAACCACTCGCCCATCAATAGAATGGGGTCGTGCAGAATCAACCTCAGCCATAGAAGAAAAAGTTACAAAACCAAATCCTCTTTTGCTTGCAGGATTCCTCATTACCACACAGTCTGTAAGTTTCCCCCATTGCTCGTAGTCGTTCCTCAAGCTTTCTTCTGTTGTTTCAAAGCTTAAGCCACCAATAAAGAGTTTACGAAACTGCTCCTTTTCTCTCTCCATCGCGAACTCAGTCGCTTCAGCTCCATTTCCCGCAGCCGAGCGAGATGAGAAAGACCTCCGCGGTTGAACACAGACGGGACTCGTCCTGGTGCTGCAGTGAGAACTGCTGCAGCTCAGGAAACACCACCACGAGGAGCATCTTCACTATTTTCAATGAAAAATTGTACAAAATTCTATCATTTAATCTCCAGCCCCATTTATCTCACCAAGTTTGTAGTTTTCAACTATCAGTGCTTCTTCTCTGTTTCCGACGTTTGCATTCTAGTCACCAATTATTACTAATGCTCTTAATTATGCTCAGATGAAACCTATACCTAGACCAAGAAGCAGATATCCGAACAGAACAAAGAAACACTGTATGATTTAAAATCAAGACATGTTTTACGGTTGTATATCCTTTCTCCAAACCGATTTAATCTGTATGCTAAGCAGATAATATGAGAAGTTGGACTATATGAAAAAGAGTGTGGCATCAAGATTGGAGAAAGATTCATCAACAACCTGCATTATGCAGATAACACTAACTTGCTTGCAGAAAGTGAAGCATTTCCTCAACATCAAAAAAAAACAAGAATCCTCACCACTGGACCAACGGGCAACAGCACAATAGGTGGAGAAAATATTGAAGTCAATAGTGGTTTTCTTTTACTTGGATCTATCTACAGCAGCAATCCAGAAATCTAAAGGCATGACACCCCTCATAGTTCCAGGAGCACTTTGCATCTGGGACCAAAGCTGCTGGCTGTCTTGGAGAAAAGGGTTCATGGCCCCCTTAAAGCCTGGAGGACATATGGGAGAGAGAATGAGCCAGAAGGATGTCCTGGTGCATCTGCTTGCCAGGGGATGTAGTGGGGCAGTTGAAGCTATTCTGACATGTCCACTGGAAGTTGTAAAAACACACTGCACTCATCTTCTGAATACTTTCTCCTGGACCTCTCCATTGCCTCAAGATGATCTTGGGAAAAGAAAGGGCTTGTTCCTTGTTTTGAGGACTAGAGCCCAATTTAGTAGGAGTAGCTCCTTCCAGCAAACATCAAAACAATAAGATGAAAAAGTAAAATGAAGGATATGTTAGTGTGAAGAGGAGAAACTCCATTTGGATGGACTTTTACCTCACTCCTCCTCCCTCCAAGACAGGCAAGCACACCTGACTAAGATGGAAGGAAGCCCAGAAACTAAGGTACCAGGGCACCTAGAAGTGCTAAGGTCTCAAAGCTAAAAGTCCCACAATGAAACTGCTGAACCAAAATACCACTGCTCCCGAGATGTCTCCCCCTCCCCAGCAATCCAGGAACACAGTAATAAATACCTGACCTTCCTCCTTCCTTGGGCTGATGCTACATTGACAGCTTCAGCCTGCTTTCAGTGAAGTGTTTATTACATAAAAGCCCATTTGCTATGTATGTGAAAAAATAAATCAAAAGGCAGGTTGAGTTAGGAAAATCTGATGTCAGGAACCTGTCTGAAGTGCTAAAAAGTATTAGTGTGAAGACTTAAGATTTGCCTAATTCAAGCCACAATATTTTCAATTGCTTCCTGTGCATCTGAAAGTTGGAAAACTGAAGAAGGGATTGATACCTTTGAACTGTGGTGTTAGAGAAGAATACTGAATATACCATGGACTACCAAAGAACAAACAAATCTGTCTTAGAGGAACTACTACCAGAAAGGCAAGGCTGGTGAAGCTTCATCTTATGTAAGTGGACATGCTTCCAGGAGTCCTTGGAAAAATAAATCATGCATAGAAAAGTAGAGGGTCAGAGAAAGAGAGGATGACCCCCAATGAGGTGGATTGACGCAGTGACTGAAAGAGAGGCTCAAGCTTGGTGGGGATGGGAGATCATGAGGATATTGGAGGATACTGAAAGGTTCTGATCTATTGTTAATAAGATCACTATGAGTCAATAATTTGTTGTGATCCACATAGTCAAATACCTTTGCATAGTCAATGAAACACAGAGAGACATTCCTCTGGTACTCTCTGCTTTCCAGATCCATCTGGCATTGGCAGTGATGTTGCTAGTACTATATAGCCTTTTCTAAACCCAGCTTGTATTTCTGGTAGTTCTTGATTGATATACTCTTTCAGTCATTTTTTTATAATCTTCAGAAAAATTTTGCTTAAATGTGATATTAGTGATATTTCTTGGTAATTTACACACTCTGATCACCTTTCTTTGGGATAGAAAAAAAAAGTATGGATCCCTTCCAGTCCATAGGCTGGGTGGTGGTCCTCCAGATTTCTTGGCACAGGTTAAGTGAGCACATCCAGGGCTGTGTCTGTTTCTTGAAATATGTCAATTATTCCATCAATTTCTAGGGTCTTGTTTTTTTGCCAGTTCCTTCAGAGCAGCTTGAACTTCCTCTTTCTCACCCCTGCCTCTTGAACATAATGTGTTTTATGAAATTCTTCTGTGTCAGCCAGTTCATTTTGGTACAGTTGATTCTTTGTACTATTTCATTTGACTGTGTGGATCACAACAAATTGTGGCTAATCTTATGAAGAATGTGAATCCCTGAACACCTAATTGTGCTGACGCAAACCTATACACGAACCAGGAGGCAGTTGTCAGAACAAAAAAATTTTTGCATTGTTCAAAATTAGAAAAGAAGTGTGTCAGGGTATATGCAGTGTCACTGTCTATTTGCCAGCAACTTAACAGCAACACCCTGATGGTGGTAAGCACGGCAGAGATACACCACTCCAGGAGAGAATCAGAGAGTCAATCCAGCTCAATTTTACTGGGACTGGACTGCACTTATATACACAGGAAAACCAGATAAAGTGGGCTTACAGACGTGGGACATGCGGATTGCTTAGGAGAACCTCAGCCTCATGCAGACCACTCCCAGTTCAACAGACATGGTAGCCATCTTCCCAGGTGGTGAGCTTTCTCAAGCTGGTACAGCCAAACACAGGGGAGCTTTCTTTACCCCATATTAAAGGTCATTGGGAGGCTTGCACTTATCTGGAGCATAGGTGATCTGTCCTGGCCAGAGACCCTTCCTTCCTCCCCAACATCCTGCAACAATGCAGAACAAATCATTTGAGAGGTTGAACTTTACGAGAAGGGATGTGGCATCAGGATTGGAAAAAGATTTATCAACAACCTGCATTATGCAGATGACACAACCTTACTTGCTAAAATTGAGGCGGGCCTGAAGATGCACTCTGAAATACTGATTGAAGCTCAACATCAGGAAAATGATGATTCTCGCCACTAGACCTGTTGGCAACATCATGATAGATGGAGAAGAGACTGATATTGTTAACAATTTTAGCTAGCTTGGTTCCACTATCAACACTCTTTGCACCACCAGTCAGGAAATCAAATGATGAATTGCACTAGGGAAATCTGCTATCAGAGACCTCTCCAGAGTGCTGAAGAACAAGGATGTCAGTTTAGAGATTAAGGTGAACTTGATCCAGAACATGGTCTTTGCAATTACTTGTTATGCATCAGAGCTGAACAATGACCAAAGATGACAAAAGAAGAATTGATGGGGAGAGGAGGGGGGCAGGGTGAAAAGTGCAACAATGAATGAATGGAAATCCAAAGCCTTTGTAAATTTTCATTAAAATTAATAAAAACAATGATAAAAAAGAATTTATGTCTTTGAGTTGTGGTGCTGGAGAAGAGTACTGAATACACTATGGACTGCCAAGAGAATGAATTGATCTGTCCTGGAGAGGGTCTACTGCTCTTTAGAGGCAAGGGTTTTGAGTCTCCATCTGTTATACTTTAGGCATGTTGCCAAGAGAGTCCTTAGAGAAAAGATATCATGCTTTGAAAGGTGGAGTGACAGTGTAGAAAGGAAGACCCAAGTTGAGATGGTTTGACCTGGGGTAATGAGGGTAGGTGTGTCAGAGACAATGAGATTGTCTGAGGATAGAGCAGGGTTCAGAGCTATTGTGCATAAGGTCACTATGAGTCAGAGTCTACTGGACACCAGATAACTACAAAACTAACAGTACTGGTCGACAACAGCTACAGCTGTGAGAAATAATGCAGAGATCTCATGTACCTTTTACCCTGTTTCTCAATGATAGTACCTTTAAAACTCATACTACAATGTCACAACCAGGATACTAGTATTGATATAGTTAAATGCAAGACATTTTCATTTACCACAATAATTCCTCATGTTTTTTGTAGACACACTTCCTGGTATGACCTGACCCCCTGCCCAACCCCTTCTATAACATCTGTTGTTGTAGTTTTATACCATGACATCAAAGCTAACTCATAGCTACCCTATTGCTGGTTTTCAGAGGCTGTAAATTGCAGAAGAGGAAATTAACACAATATATAACTGTTTACTGTTGGCTTATTTACACTCTGCATAATTTTATGGAGATTCATCCAAGTCATAATGTGTTTCAATCATTTGTATTTTTTTATTGCCGAGTAGTATTCCATGAAGGAGTTCTTGTGTCATCTATCAGGTGATGCCCATCATATAGTTACTGTTCATGTTTTTAAAGAAAAGTATTTGCAGTGAGTAAATCATTGTACAAAATTCTATCATTTGATCTCTCCAGCCAACAAGTGTAGTGTGCTGCACTGCTAACCAAAAGGTTGCACATCTCCATTGATCCTTAGATCATTGGCTTAGAAACATTATATAGGGTTGCCCTGAGGTAGAATCTACTCAAAAACAGTGAATGAGTGTGAGTGACTATTCCCGTGCATCAATATATTATAGTGTATTTAACCATTCATCCACTGAATATTGGGATTGTTTCCAGTGACTGCCAATTACAAATGTAGCTGTTATGAATATACATGTAGAGGTTTTTAGGTAAATAAATGTTTTTATTTATCTGGTATGAATGCCCATGAGTGCTGTTGCTGGCTTGCATGTTTACTCTTTGAAGAAATGGTCAAGTTGGTTTTTAGTGTGGCTATGTCATTTTACATTTCCACTCACAATATATAGGTAATCCAGGTTCTCTACATCCTCCCAGACATTTGGTATTGTCACTATTTCTTTTTTAA